TAGGACTCCTTCTTTGTCTATTTTCCCAAATAGTTTATATAACATTGGGATTAGTTGTTCTTTAAATGTTTGGTAAATTTAGCTTGTGAATCCATCTGGTTCTAGGAATTTTTTCTTAGGAAGCTCATTGATGGCTTGTTCAATTTCTTTTGGTAAGGTTGGGATATTTAAATATTTTATTTCTTCTTTTGTTAATCCAGGTAATTTATATTTTTGTAGATATTTGTCCATTTCATTTAGATTGTCAAATTTATTGGCAGGTACTTGGGCAAAATAGCTCCCAATTGTTTTAATTTCCTTTTCATTGGTGGTGAGTTCACCCCTTTCATTTTTGATGCTAGTAATTTGGTTTTCTTCTTTCCTTTTTTTAAATCAAATTAACCAATGATTTATCTATTTTATTGGGTTTTTTTCTCATAAAACCAGCTTCTAGTTATATTAGCTCAAAAGTTTTCTTACTTTCAATTTTCTTAATCTCTCCTTTGATTTTCAGAGTTTCCAATTTGATGTTTAATTGAGGCTTTTTAGTGTGTTCTTTTTCTAGGTTGTTTTTTTTTAGTTAAATGCCCAATTCATTGATCTGTTTTTTCTCTATTTTATTGATGTAAGCAGTTAGAGATAAAATTTTCCTTAAGTACTGCTTTGGCTGCATCCCATAAATTTTAGTATGTTGTCTTATTGTTGTCATTTTCTTTAATGAAATTCTCAATTGTTTCTATGATTTGTTCTTTGACCCACTTGTGTTTTAGGATTAGACTATTTAATTTCCAATTATTTTTAATATCTCTTTCCATTGTCCATTATTGAATTTAATTTTTATTGCATTATGATTGGAAAAGGATGCATTTATTATTTCTGCTTTTCTGCATTTGGTTATGAGGTTTTATGTCCTAATACATGGTGGATTTTTGTGTTAAGTGCCATGTACTACTGAGAAAAAGATATATTCCTTTCTATCCCCATTCAATTTTCTCCAGAGATCCATCATATCTAACTTTTCCAGAATTTTATTCATCTCCTTAACTTCTTTCTTGTTTATTTTTTATCAGGTTTACCTAGTTCTGAGAGGGGAAAGTTAAGATCCCCCACCAGCATAGTTTTATTATATATTTCCTCCTATAACTCATTCAACTTCTCCTTCAAAAATTTAGATGCTACACCATTCAGTTCATATATATATTTAGTATTGATATAACTTCATTGTTTATGTTACCTTTCAGCAAAATATAGCTTCATTCTTTATCTCTTTTAATTAGATCTTTTTTTGCATTTGCTTTGTCTGAGATCATGATCACTATCCCTGCTTTCTTTGCTTCAGTTGAAGCATAATAGACTCTGCTCCAGCCCCTTACCTTTGCCCTGTGTGTATCTCTCTGTTTCAAATGTGTTTCTTGTAAACAACATATTGTAGGATTGTTTTTAATCAATTCTAATATCTGCTTCTGTTTTATGGGTGAGTTCATCTCATTCACATTTATAGTTCTGATAACTAACTGTATTTTCCTCCATGCTATTTTTCATTTGTTTATCTCCCTCTTTCTCTTATCCCCAGACTTTCCCTCCTCCCAAGTGTTTTACTTTTGATCACCACCTTCCCCAAGATACCCTACCTTTTATCAGTCCTCCCTCCCCCTTCTATTATCTACTTCTCTTTTTACTTCCTTATAGGATAAGATAGATTTCTATATCCACCTGAGTGTGTATGTTATTCCCTCTTTGGGCCAATTTGATGAGAATAAGGTTTAAACTTTACCTGCTGCCACCACCCCCATCTTCCCCTCTATTATAATAGCTTCTTCATGCCTCTTTTCTGTGGAGTAATTTACCCCCATTCAACCCCACCCCTTATTCTTCCAGTGCAATTTTCTTTCTTTCTCTCCTCTTTATTTTATTTTTTTGGGGTACCATCCCATCAAAGTCACCTTTTATTCACACCTTCTATCTACATATATTCCTTCTAATTGCTCTTATGGTAATGAAGTTGTTAAGAGTCTTGCCATATGGACATATAAACAGTTTAACCTTTTTGAATTTCTTATGTATTCTCTCTCTCTCTTTTTTTTTTAAACATTTTTCTGTTTCCCCTGGTCTTATATTTGTAGATCAAATTTTTTATTCAGCTCTGGTCTTTTAATTAGAAATGCTTGAAAGAACTCTATTTTGTTAAATGTCAATTTTTCCCCCTTAAAGATTATATTCAATTTTGCTGGGTAGGTAGTTCTTCATTGTAATCCTAACTCCTCTGCCTTTTGGCATATCATATTACAAGCCCTCTAATTCTTTAGTGTAGAAGCTGTCAAATTCTGTGTAATCCTGACCGAAGTTCCATGATATTTAAATTATTTCTTTTTAGCTGCTTGCAATATTTTCTCCCTGATCTGTGAGCTCTGGAATTTGCTATGATGTTCATGACAGTTTTCATTTTGGGACCTCTTTCAGGTAGTGATCAGTGGATTCTTTCAATTTCTATTTTTCCCTCTGGTTCTAATATATCAGGGCAGTTTTCTTTGATGATTTCTTGAAAGATGTTGTCCAGGATTTTTTTTTTTATCATGGCTTTCAGGTAGTCCAATAATTCTTATATTATCTATTTTCTAGGTCAGTTATTTTTTCAATGAGAAATTTCACATTTTCTTCTTTTTTTTTTACTTTTTAATTTTGTTTTATTGTATCTTGATGTCTCAAAGAATCATTAGTTTCCACTTGTTCAATTCTAGTTTTTAAGGAATTATTTTCTTCAGTGAGCCTTTGTACTTTCTTTTCCATCTGGCCAATTCTATTTTTTAGGGACTTATTTTCCTTGGTAAATTTTTGTATATCTTTTCCCATGACTCTTTTTTTCATGATTCTTTCATTTCTTTTCCCAATTTTTTCTTCTGCTTTTGTAATTTGCTTTTGAAAATCCTTTTTAAGCTCTTCTGGGAATTTTTCTTGGGTCTGAGACCAAATTACATTTTTCTTTGAGGCTTCACATGTAGCCATTTTGACACTATTCTCCTCTTCTAAGTTTTTGCCTTGATCCTCCCTTTCCATAACTTTCTATAGTCAAGCTATTTTTTGTTTTTTACTTATCTTTTCCCCCCTTTTTTGTGACTTGGTGTATTTATGTGAGAGTTGGGCTCTGGTCCTGCACTGACCCAGGCTTTTTGTGCTGGGGCTCTGGGTCTTACTGCTGGCTTTCACTGGGCTTCAGGGCTTAGCTGCTTGCTTTCTCTGGAGGGTAGGCTTCCCTTCTGGCTTGTACTAAGGGATGGGGCCTCCCCATTGGCCTCCCTTGGGTGTGAGGTTTAGCTGCTGGCCTGCTCCAGGTGTGAGCCCTGGCTGCTAGGTTGCTATGGTGACAAGAGTGTTTCTGGCGGCTGGCCCTAGAGGAGAGCTCTTATTGCTGGTCTGCCCCAGGAGTGGGGCCCTACTGCTGGGTTGCTATGGAAATAGGGCCTCTCTTCTAGCAGGCTCTGGAAAAGTAATTTTATTGCTGATCTGCCTAAAGGGTAGGGCCCCAGAGGTGGAGTCTCACTGTTGGCCAGCCCTGGGGTAGGGCTTCACTATTGACCAAGTATGGCGTCAAGGCCTCGCTATTGGCTTGTGCTAGGGTTGCTGGGGCAGGACCTTGCTGTGCAGCACAGACTGCTCACTTGCCTAGGGGCTGCTGGTTTACAGGAAGGTGGGGCCTCACTGGCGGGATTACCCTAGGTTTGGAGCCTGTCTGCAGGCCCCCTGCTGTGAGGCTGGCCCCTGCTGTTCCTACTTCTGCTGCTGCTGCTGCTCTTGGACTTCACTCCCCTCCCACCACAGTGAGAGAGACCTTTGCTGCCCGGCTGGTCAGCTGCTTCCTCACTCCTAGATCAATTCTAAGGCAGTTTTCTAGTTGTTTGGAGGGCTTTAGGGGGTTGCTTCCTCATTTCACCATCTTGTCACCAGAAGTGGAATTTAATTTTAATTCCATGCCTTCCTTATAGTGTTGTTGTGAAGAGCAAAGAACAATAGTGCTTAACATTTATATAGTACTTTGAGGTTTGCAAAGCACTTTATGTATGTTATCCTATTTAATCCTCATGACAGCTGGGAATGGTAGGTACAATTATTATCCTCATTTTACAAGTGAAGGAACAGAAGCTGAGAAAAGGATAAGTGACTTGCTCAGGGTCACACAGCTAATAAATGACTGAGGTGGGATTTGAACCCAAGTCTTCCTGCCTCTAAGGCTAGAGCTCTAGTCCTATGTCAGAACAAGGGAAGGTCTGTAAGAGTGTTGTGCAATACATGTAAAGTTCTATCTAAATGTTAGGCATTATTACTTAGACATATTCACTAATCCCAGCTGTGTTCCTATCACTTTCCATATGAGAGAATAAAAGCAGAAAGTGAACTCAAGCTTCTCTGTGACATCCTCACCTTCCAAGATAGGATTAGAATTCTAAAGTTGCTGGTTCAACAACAATTTCATTCAATAAGCAGTTCCCAGAAATGCAGACCTAGGAGATCTTAAAGGTCATCTAGTCAAACCCTTTCATTTTACAGAGGATGGAACTGAGGCCAGGAAAGATCAAATGACCACTATGTACTTGGCCATGGAAATACAAAGAGACTCATCCTCATAGAACTTCGTTTACTGTCTGATTAGATCTTGGCCTAGATAAATCTCTGCCTGAGATTTCCCACACTGATTGATTTCTGGATGAGCAAGCAGAAAAGAGGAAAAACCTTGGTCTTAATGAAATAATTAGTTATTAATACAAGAGAAAAAATCATTTCTCTCAAAGCTTAATTTGGTAGGGTTGGAGTCTGTGAATAGCTTTGAGTGCCAGGTTCAGGAGTTTCAAACATATTTATTATGTTTCATTTTTGCCTCAGCCACTCATCTACATCAACAACAGATTGTGAAAGATATTGAAGCACAATGTGATGACCACTGAACAAATGAACAGTGAGCATTCCAGACAATGCACTCTGCCTCCCATGCCCACTACCCTGGACTCATTTTCTCCTCTTTGTTCTAGGTCTTTGGGGACTGATCAACAACGCTGGCGTTCTTGGGGTATTGGCTCCCACCGACTGGCTGACCGTGGAGCACTTCAGGGAGCCTTTTGAAGTAAATCTGTTTGGTCTCATTAATGTGACGTTGAACATGCTGCCTTTGGTCAAGAAAGCCCAAGGGAGGATAATCAATGTCTCCAGCATAGGCGGTCGGCTTGCAATCTCTGGAGGTGGCTATACTCCATCCAAGTATGCAGTGGAAGGGTTCAATGATAGCTTAAGGTAAAAAATGCAAACGGCAGAAGGGAAAAGTAATACAAGCTTTGCTTTTTATATTTTATTCTAAATAAAGACATGGTTGTGATGGTGATGGTAATGGTAGGGAGGTGAGTTCGCATATGACAAATAAAAGATGAATGAAAGAAGAATTTGTGTAGGGAGTTAGATAATTTGATGGTGAGCTCCACAGCTAGCATCACTCTAATTTACTAATTCAGTAGTGACACCTTGCTGAAACCTATCAGCAAGACATTATTGGGAAAGGAAAGATCATTAGACTTAGAGAAAGTGGACTTTGGTACCTCTCCTAACTCCACTAATTATTGCCTGTGTGACCTTGGGAAAGTCACTTAACATCTCTGGGCCTTGGTTTTCTCTTCTATAAAAAGGAGTTAGTTTAGATGGCTTCTAAGGTCTCTTTCAGCCCTAAATCTTATGATCCTAATTTTCTCTACAACTGACTTATGACCCAGCTACAATTGTTTGGTGGTTGGGTTTTTTTTTCTTTTTAGACATTCTCTTTTTGTTTGCTTGTTTCTCATTATTTATTTACTTATTTTGAAATTTGATTTCTTTTTAAATTTTGAATTCCAAATTTTTACCCTCCCTCCAGCTCTTCCCCCCCTTTTTGAGAATTCAAGCAATATGATATACATTATCCTTGTGAAGTCATTCAAAACCTATTTCCATATTATTCATGTTGCAAAAAAAAAGTGAAAAATGTATGCTTCAATCTGCACTTAGAGTTCATCAGTTTTCTCTCATTCAAAACCTATTTCCATATTATTCATGTTGCAAAAAAAAAAGTGAAAAATGTATGCTTCAATCTGCACTTAGAGTTCATCAGTTTTCTCTCTGGAAGTGGGCAGTATTTTATATCAAGTTGTATCATTGTATTGGATCATTGTATTGATCAGAGTAGCTAAGTCTTTCACAGTTGATCATTGCTACAATATTGCCAAAACAGTGTACAATGTCCTCCTGGTTCTGCTCACTTTACTTTGCATCAATTCATTTGGTTTTCCCAGGTTTTTATGAAACAATACCCCTCATCATTTCTGACAACACAATAGAATTCCATCACAGTCACATACCACAACTTGTTCAGCCCTTCCCCAAATGATGGGTGTCCTCTGAGTTTCTAATTCTATGCCACCACAAAAAGAGCTGCTAAATTTTTGTACATATGAGTCCTTTCACTTTTTCTTTGATCTGTTTGGTATATAGACCTAGTAGTGGTATTGTTGGGTTAAAGAATATACACAGTTTTATAGCCCTTTGGGCATAGTTTCCAAATTGCTCTATAAAATGGTTGGTTCACAACTCCAACCATAGTGTATTAGTGTCCCTATTTTTCCACATCCCTTCCAGCATTTGTCATTTTCCTTTTCTGTCACGTTAGCTAGTATGATAGGTGTAAGGTAATACTTCAGAGTTGTTTTAATTTTTATTTCTCTAATCAATAGTGATTTGGAGCATTTTTATGTGACTATTGGTAGCTTTGATTTCTTTTTCTGAAAACTGCCTGTTCATATCCTTTGACCATTTATCTATTGGACTTTTTAGACATTCTCTTCATCAAATCTTACCACCACATCTTAGTACTTAAAATAGGAATAATGGTAGCTCCCATTTGTATGCATATAAATGTACACACACTTATAATACACAAATGTATAAATGTATACATACATACATAGTTTATACTTAAGCTGTATTTATGCATATACAGCTTATAAAGCACTTTTGCATATATTATCTCATTTGATACTAGAAGAAACCTGGGGAACGTAAAATCATTTGAGAAGACCCTCCCTACGCATTACTTACTATTTCATTTGAGCCCCTCAAAACCACCTTAGAAGATAGACGTGGAAGTAGGTATTATTATTCTTATTTTATGGAAAGACCTGAGGATTAGAGAAGGTAAATGGTTTGCCCACACTCACTTGCCTAGTCAGATTTTGCCACTTAATGCCCACGTGATCTTGGCCAAGTCGCTTAACCTCTTTTACCTCAGTTTCCTCATCTGTAAAATGAAGGGTTCCCTGGCTGACCTGTAAGGTCTCTTTTAACTATAATCCTTAGTGGGAGAGACACTCTGTCTCCCTTTCAGAATAGCTTTCTAATGATAATAAATACACTCCAGCTCCCCATGTGTCTGAATAGAACTTGGAATAGGATTTTCCCTAGTAGGATTCTGTGGTCCTCTCCTTTAGTTCTTAGCCAAAAGGAAGCACTAGCCAGTTTCTTCTGTCTGAGCAAAAATAAAGATCATTGGAAGTTAAAATCCCAGCTTGGTCACCCATGATGACATGTAAAATGTAAGTGGTGATACTGTGGGTTCTTGGCTCTGTAAGAGCATCAGTCATAAAATAAAGATTGTGGTATGGAAGCAGAGAATCCGAAAACTCCAGGCCAGGAGTTCTTAATCTTTTTTCATTCCTGGATGCCTTTGGCAGCTCAGCGAAGCCTCTTCTCGGAATAATGGCTTTTAAATTCATAAAATGAAATATAAAGGATTACAAAGGAAACCAATTCTATTGAAAAGCAATTATCAAAATACATATTCTTTTAAATTCACAGATGTTAGGTTAAGAACTTCTGCACTAGGGAACCATTCTTTCATTAATATTGAGAGAGCTATTTCTGCAATTTTCTTGGTCTCCATTTGCTTAGATTTCTAGGATAACACCAGGGGGTTTGAAACAGGAGTGGTGTAAGACCACTATGGTGGGATTTCTAAATGAGTTGTAACTCCAGCTACTCCTTGGAGCCTTCTGTGAATGCAGAATTTGCATTCCAAAGATCCATCTCATCATTGTTATTCATCATAACTTTCATAAATTGACTACTCCCTAGGCATATCAACTATCATTATCACCATCATTTAAAGTATTTATTGAACACATTTCACCACATGTTGCTGAAGGCAACATATGAGGCAAATTAGAAATAGTTTGGGTCTTCTGGGAATTTGAATCATATATTATAGGTTTAGAATGAGGAGGGACTTTACAGATCATCTAACCCAACCCTCTCATTTTACAATTAAGGATACTGTGGCCCAGAGATTATAGAATAACTTGCCCAGAGTCATTCATTCAGGAACCAAGATGGGATTTGACCCTAGATCCTCTGATTCCAAATTATGTGCTCTTAACTGCATGTTCATTTGCTCAATCAGTCATTCAATCAATTTCCATTTATTGTGTATTTGCTCTATGCTAAGCACTGTCTCTGTTCTTATGTTTAGAAAGCCAAATGTGAAACAGTCCCTTCCCTCAAGAATTGTATTGAAGGAGAAAACACCTAGATATAGTTATAGACATAGACATATGTACATATGTATATATGTTCATATATATTGGTTAGATATGGATAAGGATAAGGATATAGAGATGGATATGGATATGGATATGAACAGATTTAAACATAGCTGTAGACATAGTCATAGCTATAGATTACATCTATGTATATAAATCTGTATACATGTATGTATATATAAAATATACAATATAGAGTATTTTATATATGTATAATATTTACATTATTTGGGGATAAGTGGAAGGGCTCTAATAGCTAAGAGCATCAGGAAAGTCTTCATTTTTATTGAGTGCTGAGATGTGTGCCAGGCATATAGCACAGCTTACAGTACAGACTGTTTAGTTTACCAATTCAAGATCAGACTATACCCTTGAACTGAATGAAGGCAGCAATACAGAAATCTGTCCAAAATTACAATTCAAGACTTCCTATCTAATGCTAAGAACTGCAAGGTGCCATGTTCACAAGGAAGGAAACAGTACGACAGTGAAGTCTTACTATAATAGTGTCCTCCAACCTTATACTGGGGCCAGCCTTACCGTCCTTGGACCCCAGTCCATCCCATCCTACTATACAGGCACGTGAAGTTGCATGTGTACTTAGTCATTGGCCGTAGTTACTTAATTATCAGCAATTACCTGTGGGACTGGCTTATGGAGGTTCTCTTGGAATACAGGTCTGTCATGAATGTAAATAATGTGGCAAAACTAGATTTCCCTCTTCAGGAGAAGGGTGGAGAGTGGGGATGGGTAATGAAGAAGAAATCAGCTAAGCTGACAGTGAAAAATGGCATCTGTGCATATGCCAAGGTCTAAAAGAGATAGAAATATAGGTACTGTTCTTAGGATTGGGGATAAAAAGACCAAAAGAAAGCGGCCACTAACCTCAAGGAGCTTATATTCTATGAAGTCATCTTTATGGTAGGAAGAATTTCACTTGCCTCCTCCATAAAATGGGTGCATAGCATTGTCATGAGGCTAAAATAAGATACAGCCTGTAAGGTGCCTTGTTATCATAAAATACCATATTTCTGTAGGATAGTATTGCTCATATAATATTTTATTGTTACAAATCGCTTCAGTCCCTTATTTTGTTTGATTCTCTTAACACTACAGCACCATGAGGGGTGATCTGGGCAGGCAATTATTACCTCAATTTACAGATTAGGAAACTGAGGCTCAGACAAAGTAAGCAAGAGACAGGAAGCAGCAAATCTGAGAAAACTGGGTCTTCCTCCAGTGCTCTAGAGGCAGCTAGATGGCACAGTAAATCAAGCTCTGGGACTGGAGTCAAGAAGATCTGAGTTCTGATCTAGCCTCAAATACTTTTACTTACCCACTGTGCAACCCTGACAAAGTCATTTAACTTCTGTCTGCCTCAGTTTCCTCAAATGTAAAAAAAGGGTAAGAGTGAAACCTATCTCCCACAGTTGTGAAGATCAAGTGACATGATATTATAAAGTACCTAGCACATAATAGATCATTAATAAACTCTTGTTTCCTTACTTCTTTCTAACCATAACATACTGTATAAGGCAGAGGTGGGGAACCTGTGGCCTTGAGGCCACAAGTGGCCTTCTAGGTCCTTGGGTGCAGCCTTTTGATTGAGTCTAAGTTTTACAGAACAAATGCTTTTATTAAGAGGGTCACGTAGCCTTGAGGCTACAGATTCCCCGTATTAGTTACTTTATAAAGTAGTGACTCACTAACTTACTTTCTGTGTACAAGACTAAATTAGAGACAAATGATTTCGATATCCGATTTTTATATGTTGAATTTCTCTCAAAGCAAGGCATACCTTTGTTCTTTCTCACAGCTGGATAAAGCTATTGTGAGTGACTGTGCATGATAAAAACAGGTTTGCTGAGCACTTTAGGCCACTCCCTTGTTAATCACCACCCTGCCATAGTTATCTCTGAGTGTTATTAAATGAACCATGTCACTTTTTGTACTGCAACTTCCCATTCCTCAGATGGAAATCATCCTTGCCACTGACCTTTTGAGGAACCTTTTCTTGGATGTTTCAATCAGGTGCTCTGAGCCCTCAGGAGAAAGATGTCTCTAAATTCAAATTACTATTAGCAAAAATATTCACAAGAAAACTGATTTTGACAGAAACATCGCTAGACAGTCTGGCTTCTGGGACTAGATCCCTGGTATTCACCTGGGGAAAGTTGTTGGTTGGGGCCGAGCGGAGGCACAGAAGAAGGTTGAGAAATTGAAGGAAAGATCTCAGATTTGAGGACCTACATGTACTGACCGTCCCTTATACCTGGAGTGCTCTCACTTCTCATCTCCGTTTCCTAGCTTCCTGGACGTTTCTGTGACATTATTTCCAATTTATCCTACCTGTATCTTTTTTGTACGTAGTTGTTTGCACATTCTCCCCTCGTTAGACTGTAAGGTCTTTGAGGAAATCGATTGTTGTTTTTGTTTTTATTTTTTTAGGTGGGGTTGCCTTTCTCTGTATCTCCAGCACTTAGAATAGCATCTAGCACACCATAAATGCTTAACAAATGCATGTTGAATGACTGACTGGCTAAACTCAGTTAAGTGCTATCAATATCCTCTTATCACCCTGGAGCAATGTCCTAATTCCACAGTCCTACTCAAAAATGAATGCCCTCCAAATAAAACTGTCTGAAAAGTAACAGAACAATTTCCAATGGGCTCTTTTCACAGGAGGGACATGAAAGAATTCGGCGTGAAAGTATCATGCATCGAACCAGGATTGTTTAAAACAGGACTGACAGATCCCGCAAAGGCCACTGAAAAGAAAATGGCCGTCTGGAAGCAACTTTCACCAGATATCAAACAACAGTATGGAGATGGGTACATTGAAAAAAGTGAGCTTTCAGATAATTGCTTTAGTCGTTGCTTCATACAGAAATGTGAGGGATTAGCAAAATATCAAAATTTAGACATGTGCAACATATGGAGTTTCCTAAGGTACCAACCAGGCATGGGGAACCTGTGACCTCGAGGCCACTTGTGGCCTTTTAGGTCTTCAAGTGCAACTCTTTGACTGAATCCAAACTTCACCTCCCCTTATTGGGATTTGTTCTGTGAAGTTTGGATTCAGTCAAAGGGCTGCACTTGAGGACCTAGAGGGCCACATGTGGCCTCGAGGCCGATAGTTCACCACCCCTATGATGAATCTTTATAACCAATAGGATTTTTAAGCACAAGCCTGTAGTACCCCTTATGGGTTTTCCTTTCTTACTTCTGTCTTAGGCATAGCCATACATGCTCTCTCCCTCTTTCCTAAGTCAGTAATCTACAGCATCTCCTCACACCATGCTAGGCCAAGTGTAGGGGGGGGGTGGGAGGACTAAGTCATGGTAACATTTAAGAAAAAAAAGCAGAAGGCAAAATCCTTACTACAAGGTTATTTATAAGATAATTGAGGGCCTGAGAGGCATGACTGTAAAGGAATCACAAACAAATTGGGCTCATTACTTACAGGTCATACACCTCCGCATATAGACACAAAACATCTAGAAAATGACCCAAGGTAACAAGACATCAAGTGTTAGGATATGTGTACAGGCTTTTTTTTCTATGTCACATACATACAGAACAGGGGGAGTTAGGAATCACCTTTCAGAAAGGGGTTGTCCAGAGGAGGGCAACTGAAGTTGTTCTGAAATACCAGGTTCTAAAATACAAGCATCAGCTGAAGGAAATGGGAAAATAATAGCCTAGAGGAGAGAAGGGGTGCGTGCGTGTATGTGTGTGTGTGTGTGTGTGTGTGTGTGTGTGTGTGTGTGTGTGTTAGGGGTGGGTGGAACCAATAGCTCTTTTTAAGGATTTGAAGATGTCAGGTGGAAGAGAGAACAGACTTGCTCTGCTTGGCTTCAGAAGAAAGAACGATGAGCAATGGGGGGAAGCCAGGAAGAGACAAATTTAGGTTTGCTCTAAGGAAGCACTTCCTCATGATGAGAGTTCTGCCAAAGCAAACAGCACTGCTTCCCAAAGGAGGATTCTCCCTGGAAATGAGGTCTTCAGGCTAAGGCTGCCTAACCAGTTGTTGAAGACATGGGAATTCTAGCTTAGGTCCAGGTTGGACCGGATGGCTCTGCAAGTGCCTTCTGATTCTGAAATGATGACCTTTTGTCTAATTGTTTTATTCTTGCCTCTTACTGAAGTACCCACGGCTTAGAATAACAACAACAATAATAATAATAAACATTTACCTAGCACTCTAAGGTTTGCAAGGGATCACATATGCTTGATCACACTTACTCCTCACCTCAGCCGTGGGAGGTAAGTGACATTATTTTCCTTATTTTATAAATGAGGAAACTAAAGTTCAGAGAGGGCCTTGCCCTGAGTCACACAGCTAATAAATGACGGAGGCAAGCAAAAATCCAGTTAAGATCTTCCTGACTCTCAATGTAGCCTTTTATCCATTTTGCCATGTTTCCATATCAGATGTACCACAGGACATTGAACCTGGCTTTGTACTCTTTGTTTTCATTAGACTATGCTGGGTCAGGCCAAAGTGACTGAAGAGCAATGCCAAAAATTAAGTCTCCCTTTTCCAGCCTTCCAGCCTGGAAAACAGGAGTATATATAGAATATCAGCAGCCAGGGAAGTCCTCACTAATTATGTGTACTCATCGCTTTCAAGGACTTGGAACAACTTTATCTGTGGGCCTCAGTTTCCTCATCTATAAAATGAGGAAATTATACTCGATGACCTCTAAGGCCTCTTGAAGCTCTGAAATCTATAGGCATTTAGGAACAGCTTTATTCCTCCTCCTAACTGGGAGTCTGACCACCTCATCAGAGCTGCTGATTCTTGGTGTTTCTACAGGACAGGCGATAAAGCCAGCAGCAGCTGTCCCTTGCAGTTATGGCCTTTTGACACATGGAAGAAAAAGTTGGTTGTTTCCCTTGTGACAGCTAAAATTAAGGTAGACTGAGGCACAAAGTTCTGAACATGATCAATTTATGAGTAAAGCATGAATTGACCAATAAGTAGCATTGCCACCTCCCCAGGTAAGCTAAGACCCTAAATGAGGTAGACAGTTCTCTTTTATAATTTGGGGGGCTACAGAACAAAGAAAAGGACTTTGTAGGCAGGGAACGAGTTATGATTGGTTAAGAGTTCAATATCATGGATGGAGAAATCAATATGATTGGTTACAGAGCTGAGGCATGAAGGACAATGATTTGTTGAAAACTGGGAATGAGGGGCTAGCAACAACCTCCTCCTTCCCTCCCGATACTCAGAAATGTTTGTTGTTTGAGTCTAGCTGCAAGGTTAGAGATAGTGAACCAGACTTCTTTGGATAGCAAACCTGTCATCCTTAAAGGATAGTTTAGTGGTATAAAGGTACTAAACCAGACTTCCTGGTCTCCATCCTCAATCTTCAAGGACAGCAGATTCCCTTAAGGCAAGAATACAACAATGATTAATAAGAAAACTGGATCTCTAAACTTAACTCATTATACGCCAGCTGAATTTCTGAAGTAAGTTCAGAGACAAAGAACTTAGACAAATCCAGGACAAAAATCAATTAACTATAAATATCATCAATTAAAAAAGACATAGAGTCAATCTGATAATTTTATCCAAAACACTTGTACCTCTTCTTTTGAAATGTTCCATAACACCATCCTATTGATTTCTCTAGCAAAATGCTAGCTCTCATTGCAAGAGAAGGGGAAGGGGAAGGGATAAAGGGGTTGAGTCTCTCTCCCTCTTAAAACAGTCTTTATCCTCTCTAAGCAATAGGCCTCAGTATTTGAAAATAAGATCCACTTCCTCAAATATTTAATCATTTCATTTGCCTAAAAACTGATATCAACCTATTCTCCAAACCTAGAGTATTATTGACCACCATCTCCTCCTCTTTACTCGTAGCTTACTAAGGTACCAGCATGTTTACAAACACACACCAATGCAGATACCCTACAAACATATCCCTCCCCTGTAACTGAACCAGAACTTGCCCATAACTCTCTCTGAAACAGGGATCCCTTCCCTCCTTACTGTAAGGGTAAATGGCTTCTTACCTTGCTCTGATGAATGGGTAAAAAAATCAAAGTACACAAATCAAATCAAAATCCAAGTAACTAGCACAAACAGATATTTACAAAGCAAGAGATCACCACATCACCTGGATAACAAGTGGTGCACCAACCACCATCATATACCCAAACACACGTCCTCATGTGGGAACAACAGATACATACGAACACATCCCATCTTCCCCTATTGGCAAAGAACAAATTTTTGTCTTCTTTCTTTTTATAGGTCTGGCTAAAAAAGGAAAACACAAGCTTTTTCAGAACATAGACCTGTCACTGGTGGTAAAGTGCATGGATCATGCCTTAACAAGCCTCTTTCCTCAAACTCACTACATCGCTGGTGTAGATGCCAAGACTTTTTGGATTCCCCTGTCTCTCATGCCAGCAGTGTTGCAAGATTTTCTGTTGCTGAAACATAAAGTAAAACTGGCTGATCCAAAGGCGGTGTAATTCACTCAACCTGAATTGCTCAGCTCCTGAGCAAATGAGGTTGATAGATTTAAAGACTAATCAGGATTTCAGCATCATTCCAGATCTGATTCAACCTGGGTCCATTTGGAAGCCTGTGCTCCTCAACATGAGCAGAGTGTCCTCAACCATCTCTGATGAACTGCTTGAGGTCTCTCCCAAGCCTTGACTAGAAAGAAAGAAAGCAGGAATGGCAAACCAAGACTTGGCGGGTGGAGGGGGCAGTACTGCTGCCTGGGTAAAGTGGACCCAAAATATGGATGGTCTACATTATTTGAAGGTCACTGAAAACCCCAGCCTCCCCACCCAATGTTATCTTCCTCTGGCCTGACACAGTACTTTTATTTACCACCTTTAGAATCATTCTTTTTGATTAAAGCGTCATCTACAGGAGGCCTTACTAAAATGTGAAAAACTTAAGTAGTGGGAGAGGTAATGTGATATGACATCCTCATTAACAAGGATGAATTCATCAGATTAGCTCTTGTCACCTGGTGGGAGCTAGACACTGAGGTGCTGGAAGCAGGACAGGTAGCTTTTGATGGTGGGAGGATTGGAATAGAACGGAGCAAGGGGTGCTTCCTGCAGAAGGCAGGTCAAAATGGAGTTCTGAGTGATACAGAGTGGCCCTGAGTAGTAATGGGCAGAAGAAAGAAAGGTCCACCCTTTCTATCCAAAATATTCTCTTCTACTGGCCTTGTGACAGGCCACAGAGAGGAAAGAAAGGGGGTTGGGGGGAGACAAAACTGACAGGGCGGGAGACCACAAAATTGAAGTCAGGAGACATCAAAGATAAACTTCAACTACCTCACAGAGAACTGGGGCGGGGATGGGGAGTTGGGGGAGGGAGATAATATCAAGGTCCTATTCTTTCCAGACCACTGAAAATAATAGCCATCCATGCCAAATTAGAGGGTGTAATCTTAGTCTCCTCCTAAAAAGGAAACAAAAATAGCTGGGGATTTTTATCCTGGAAATGGATAGAATGGCAAACCTCAATCTTTGTGGCACACCTCACCCTCAAAGCAGATGCATGGCCCATTGCGGGGTATCCTGATCCTTCCTTGCACGGGTCCCTTAGAGAACCGCCAAGATCACTAAGAGAGTCATACAGCCACTATGTTTCAGAAGGAGGACTTGGACCCAAGTCATCCTGACTTTACGGCAAGCTCTCTCTACCCAAACTGCCTCTCCTGAGCTACCAGATAAACTCTAATCTGGAGTTTCCGTGTTAAATGTCAACCTGAACCCAAACTCACACCAAACTCAATGGACTCTGGACCACCGCTCAATCCGTCAAGGAGATCCAATCTGCTTACGTTGCTACCAGAGGCATCAACACCCTCCTTAGGGTCCATGGGCAGATTATTGATAGTGGTAGCTCTCTCTGGACTTACCCGCTTTGAATTTGTAACCCCAGGAGGTGTTTGAGAGTCAGGAAACTGGCCTGGGCTCTGGACTTGTCAAATGGAGTATCTAACAATGCACTGATGGGGTAAGCACATCACATCATGTGGTGTCCTCCCAGCCTGAGCCTTTCTAAAACCCCCTGAATGTGCCTAAAAACTCAGAAAGCAAGAAAGGGGGACTAGACACGTATGATTCGTGTTTTTATCTTTTCCATGCCCCATGTTTAAATAGTTGTTCAATGGACCCCCTCCCCGACCTCAAACAAAATAAAAAAGAAAAGCTTCCACAATACTGATGTCATTTTCCTTACTGGTCATAATACTGATACAGTGACAAAGTAATCATTTTTTTTCCAAAACATCATGTGAATTCAATTCGGTAGATATTTATGACTTGCCTAGTATGTATAAGGCATTATGGTATAATTGGGGCTATAAAAGCAAAATAAGACAATCCTTGGCCTCAAGGATCTTAGGATCAAAAAGAGGAGATAAGGTAGATACTAAAAAAAAAAACATCCCAGCTTTAATAGATAGAATATGACAAGTTGGTGATATCTAAAACATCATGGAGAACAGGAGAGGTGCTACAGCATAAGAGAAGTATAAATTTCCCAATCTTTTAAATAAATATGCATATATACATACATATATATATACGTATATTTCAGAACATATTATTAAAAGGATGGTTTGTGAGCACTTAAAAAAGAAAGGAAGGGTCAATGAAAACCAGAGTGGCTTCATCAAAACTAGTCATACTAGAAGAACTTCATTCTTTTTTTTTTTAAATAGGATAACTAAACTGGTAGATCAGGGAAATGCTGCAGACAATGAGGCAGGTATTATTACCACCATTTGACAGATGAGGAAACTGAGGCTCAGAGAAGTTAAATAACTTGACCATGATTACATGTGTCAGGAGCAGAACTGAACTCTGGAGTAAGCATGGTATAGCACAATTCCAGAACTGGCCTGGAATCATCTATTGATATAATCATATGATTATTTTAAGCTTTTCTTATTGATATAATCAATTATGTTAAATAGTTTTTCTTATGTTAAACCATCCCCTCATTCCTGGTATAAATCCCACTTGATCATAATGTATAATATTTGTAATATATTGTTGTAATCTTTTAGCTAACATTTTATTTAGGATTTTTTTATCTGTATTCATTAATGAAATCTGTCTATAATTTTCTTTTTCTGTTTTTACTCTTCCTGGTTTAGTATCAGTATCATATTTGTTTCATGAAAGGAGTTTGGTAGGATCCCTTCTTTGCCTATTATTCCGAATTATTTAATATTGGAATTAGTTGATCTTTAAATATTTGATAGAATTCACTTGTAAATCCATCCAGTCCTGGTTCTTTTTTCTTAGGAAGCTCATTTATGACCTGTTCAATGTCTTTTTCTAAAATAAGAGTAAGTCTCTGGAATGTAGATTCTAGTCCTAGCTCTAACCCATCTACTCTGTGGGTCCTTACTAACTGTGTGACCTTAAGCATGTCTTAGCCTCTATGAGACTCTTTTTCTTCTCCTATAAAATTGAAGGCCTAGATTAGACAGCATCTTCTAGGGGCCCACTCAGTTCTGCAGGTATGGTCCTTTGCCCCCAAGTCCACCATGCTATCCACTATACCTTGCCATCTCTCAATAAAGAGGAGCAGCATAAAATAAGATTTTGAAAGGTCCAGATAGAAGCTAGACTGTGCATCACCTCAAACTCCTCCTAACAAATTGTGAATCCCCAGTGTTATGTCAGATTACTTACATCAAGGGATTGCCACTTGGATAGAGGATAACCATTTATGTTAGAGGATAACTCCACTAACAAGAATGTCAACGTGGGCAGGAAAGAGAGAGGGGGCAGAAAGTCTCTCTCATTCTTGTGTAGGTTTCAGATCTCTCTGCCTCCAAACGGGTATTTAAAACACTACATTGCAGGATTAGCTTCCTGTTGTTTCTCATGTCTCAGAAATGTTCTACCGGAGTTCTGTAGTACAGCCTCAGGCACACAGTCAGATGTCAATTGGCACTGCTCCTCACACATGAAGTGTCAGCCAATGCTGTAAGATTTCTTCCCTGCTACTCATTACCGAGGTAGCCTTGAGCAGGGAACTTTAGCTCTGTAGGTCCAAGCTTCCTCATCTGTGAAGTGTGAGGATAGGACCAACTAATCTCTGAATTCTGAGGTTCCTTCTTTCTCTATGAGTACAGGGTCTTGACTTTGCCACTAATGAGCCGTGTGACTCTAGGCAAGTCATTCATTTCTCTGATTCTCGTTTTCTGCTTCTGCGGAAGACAGTTGGATCCTCCCAGCCACAGCTGCCTACGATTCTATGACTGTTCGGAGACAGGAACAATGATGCTTCAACTTCCCACATCTCTCCCACACAGTGCCTGGCACGGAGTCACAGGGCATGGGTAACCTTAGCAAATGGGAATTGAAACTTCAGACAAAAATCCCCCTCCTGCGTATCTAGGGAAGGCTTCCTGCAAGGTTGGATAAGATATTCCTCTAGAATAATGGAGCTTCAAGGGATAGGGAAAGATATTTAGATTCACAGACATAGAGAATTTTAGAATTGGAAGGGATCTAAGCAGTACCTAATTACATGGACTGCCTAGCACACAAGACTGTTGTGAGAAAAGCACTTTTGGTAAGCCATTAAATTTATATGTATATGTACATAGATATATGTATATGCATACATACATATATATGCATACATATATATACACATATGTGTGTGTATGTATGTATGTATTTCTATTCTTCCCCTTTTCATTCTCCTCTCTGGGCATGACTCCTCACCCAATTTCCTTGTTTCAAAGTTGTCACATCAATGTTTAAGCAATATCAAACTACATGGTATAAGGCTACTCAAGAATACTTCTCATTTCATTTTTGTGAAGATATATCCAGATATTTTGCATCAAAAATGAAAACAGATGTCAGGGTCTGAATCACCAAGGCAGGCTGAGGAATTCCAGATAAGGGCAGCTAGTTCTCTGAGCTTCCTATAAAATAATCCCAGTACTTTTGCTCCTCAGTGGTTAATCTCTTATCTCGAGCACTCAAATTCCCTTGATGTTACCTCAATCAGGTCCTCAATGTCACTAACAAACTTATTATTCAGTCAGTCAACAAGCATTCATTACATGTTTTCTATGTGCTAGGCACTGTACTAAGTCATGAGGATATAAATATAAGCAAAAAGGATGCACCCTGACCCCAAGGAACTTGCATTATAATGAGCTACACAAAAGGTAGCTGAAGAGCAGGGGGTAAGGTGGAGAAGAGATGGTACCTCCCTGTGTGGGGACATGGTAGCAAAATCCAAAGACTCAGGAACAGAGCTAGAAAAAGAATGAAGGATGGTTGGGCCTGGAGCCCTTCCTCAAAATGGAAGTTCTGGGAGGAACACGCCATGGAAAAAGGGAGCTGTGGAAGGAGTGGGATATTTCAGGATGAGAAGGCCACAGGCCAAGCACTAAGGAAAGCTGTGAGGTAAGAAGGTAGCTAAGGAATAGTGGTGAAGTCCAGGGAGTCAGAAGCAAGCTATTTTTTTTTAGCATTAATTCATAAAGGTTGTTCCAAACCTCTTTGATGAGTGTATCCACTCTCTACGTTTGACTTTGCTTCCTACTTGATTGGTTACTTGATCCAAATTTGACATCATCAGATATAAGCTGCCTTAATATGTCTCCTTTTCGTCCCAAAGCTTCCTAATGTCTTTATCCATCCCTCTTCTCTATACTTCTGTGTCAGAAATCTCTTTGCTTTAACCTAAAGGTAGCTTTTCTGGTTGTGCTTTTCATTCTATCCTTCCATTCTCCTTTCTCTGAGTCCTTGCTGTATTGGACTTACCAAGGTTATGAAAGTCATATGTATGAGAAGCGGGACTTGAACCCCAATCTTCTTGGTTTTGATTCTAGATCTCTTATCCACCAGTCCACATTGCCTCTGATTTTACCTTCCCTATAACTACAGAGGGCAATCCCATCCTCCTAACCCCTCAGGCTCACAAACTAGAAGTTCTCCTGGATTCCTCACTCTCTCTCCTCCACATCCAAGCTATTGCCAAGGCCTGTTGATTTTACCTTTGCAACATTTTTCAAATATAACCCTTTCTCTCCTCTGATACTGCCAACACTGTATAGCAGGCCCTCATCCCCTCATGCCTTGATTATTTCAATAAGCTGCTGGTGGGTCTGCCTACCTCCCATCTGTCTCCACTCCAAATACATCTTCCATTTAGCCACAGAATATAATCCTAAAATGGAAGTATAATCACGTCACACACACACACACACACACACACACACACACACACACACACACACACCCCTCTCAAAAAACTCCAGTGACTTTCTATTGCCTCCAAGAGCAAATACAAAATTTTCTGTTTGGCATTCAAAGCCCTTCATAACCTTTCCTCTCCAGCACTTACTCTTTGATACAGTGGTACTTGCCTTCTGGCTGTTCCATGAACAAGACACTAGCTCTCTGTTCTAAGTATTTTCTCTGGCTGTCCACCATACATGGACAGAATATTCTCCCTCCTTTGTTCTGACTGCTGATCTCCTTGGCTTCCTTTAAGTCCCAACTAAAATCCCACCTTCTCCTGGAAGGCTTCCCCAGCCCCGCTTAATCCCAGGGCCTACCTTCAGTTATTTCCTTTTTATCCTGTGTATAATTTGCTTTGTATACATTTGTCTACATGCGGTCTCTCCCATTAGGGTATAAGATCCTTCAGGGTGGGGACTGTTTTTTGCTTCTTTTTGTATCCCAGGACTTAACACAGAGCTAGCACATTGTAGGCACTTAATGTTCATTGAATGATTGATTGATTGACTGTGGAGGCTACACTTGATATGTGGGGTAGTACCTCTGGCAATTTTCCCTTTTCCCATTGTTCCTAAACAATACTGTTCTAAACAACAGGTTTAATAGGAAGCCCACGTACAAGGGGATGGTCTTAAAGGCACCCTTTACTAAAGAGAAAGTCATGGCCCTAAATGAAGAGCTGAGAACAAAGGGCATCACGCACACAAGACGGGGTCCAGCTAAGAGGGAATAACTATAGGGAACAATGGATAGAGCGATGGACTCAGAGTCGGAAAGTGCTGGGTTCACATCCTGCCTCACGCACTTACTAGTTGAATGACTCTCAGAAAATCATTTCAACTGTCTGTCTGCCCCAGTTTTTTGGTCTATAAAATGAAGAGGGTTGGAGCAATGCCTCTAATATCCCTCCCAGCTCTAAATCTAAGATCAATGAT